CTTCTTCTTCTTCTTCTTCTTCTTCTTCTTCTTCTTCTTCTTCTTCTTCTTCTCCTTTTATTCCTGATAAAGTTTCAGCAGTCGTGATGATATTCGTCGCGAGCCTTTCAAGACGTGAGCGAAGGCACTCACCCACTTGCTGTGTTTCTTAAAAAATAATCATAATACATGACATTTAATATAACGCTCACCCCGATTAAAGTACACAGGCTCTGAGCGCTTTACAATACAACAATACAATGTACAACAGCTGCATAAAACGTTGTGTTCTGACCAAAAGAAAATTACTCCAAATATTCATTTGACTAATTTTAAAAACAGAAATGATCCACAGGAAACTTGGAGTCTTTTCAAGTTACGTAAAAGTACAGTGTCCACCCCCTCCCCCATGTCTAACGAGCCCATCACAACGTTGATACCCCTTTATTTTCTGTTCCCGTAGAACATACCGGTATCCCTTCCCTGTCACCTGACACCTGACACCCCCACCCCCACCCCCCTTCCCTTTTTTCATAGTGGTCCCAGATCTGCACGCTAGGTCAAGCACGTTCAAAATAGGGAAGGGAAAGGGGGGGGGTACTTTACTTAATTCGACTTACGGCTTGCCCTTTCTTTCTCTCTCTCTCCCTCTTGTATCATAACGGCACCATCGCCCAGAGAAGACCCCACCTTGATTCCGGTGTGCTGAGATTTATTTTCCCCCAAGTATCTTGGTCTTTCTGCAAGGACGTTGTATCCCTCTTTGCCCGGGTAGGCCCTGACATGCAAAGTCGAAGACCGCCTCTTATATGATTTAAACTTCCTCGATGGATGCATAAAACATCTGCACTTTGTATTGTATTATTTCAGGTCAAGTATGTTGCAAAAAAGGGTCTGTGAAACCTCCGCCCCCAAAACCTGTAAGTCACAGTAATTAAAAAATTATGCTGTACTTGTGAAACCGAAAGAAAGGGAAAAGTGAGAATTGTGTGCGTGTGCCTGTGTGTGTGCGTGTGTGTGTGTGTGTGTGTGTGTGAGAGAGAGAGAGAGAGAGAGAGTATGACGTTTATGCATGTACGTGTGTGCGGTTTTGCTTTTGCATCTGAGCATTTGGGTGTATGTGTAAAAGTAAGTACATGTACACGCCATTATTGTCACGTCAGCAACTGTACACACAATGCGCTTGAGGTAAGTGATAAATGGGACTGTAAAAAAAAAGGAAAGAAAAACTAAATTGTGTCCATGCGGGCTTAAAGCTGTTTCAATAAAACACATTAATTTACTAATTACAATACGTCTAAAACATTTCTTTTTGTCCCTTGAGAGCATTATAGTGTTAGGTATTATATAAAAAATTATTGAAACATTTTAGCCTTATTTGTAATGATTAGTTAAAATTGTAATCAAATTTTTCTTTCCTGGTGGAATGTCCGTCATCCTTCACTTTTCATTAAGTGTTCAGTTGCCATACATATTAAAAACACACAATAAGCATATAGGTAATAGTATTAGCAATTGCAATCAAGGCTTTAGAGATCAACATGTACTGACATCGATACAATAAAAGCATTTACAATTATTCATTGATTATTTTAAGAAACGCTTACAATAAAACAATGGCAATACTTAAAAAATTACCCCCAAAAAGACGCTTACAAACAAAACACTATGTAGCTGTTACGATAAAACATTTACTGCAAAACGCTTACAAACACACACAAAAAAACCCCACCCATTACAATGAAACACTTACAATAATACGTTTACGGTGACATATTTACGGAAAGAAAACACTAGAAATTGCTTACAACAAAATACTTACAGTTACAATACATAGAGCAGCTGGTTGCGGGGGCGTTAAAGTTCTTCTCAGGGAGGTTCTCGTGGTCGAGAGGTTACGGTGTTCGCTTCTCATTTAATAGGTCTCGGGTTCGAATCCACATAGTGACGGAAAATATTCTTCACTAAAAGTGTTATCCTTTCACCTTCTTTATCGTGCTCTCTAACAATGTTCTGTCGTCTGCTTTCGCCTCCATGTTCTTCCCCCACCCACCTCACGTCCTCCTTTGCCCCCTCCTCTGGGCCCGTGACTCTTTCTGCAGCCTTTCTACTGCTAATTTTTGGCTCCTTATTACTGCTGTCTTTCAGCCACACCCCTGATCTTATGGTAGGTAAGATCGAACACCTAGTCTTCTCGGATAAGGGCAAAAAATCCGAAGGTCCCGTGTGCAAGTTGCGCACGTTAAAGATCCCTTGGTGGTCCAAAATTGATAAGAATAGGCTTCGGCTGCCACCCGGGGAAAATTCCAAATTTCCTACAAACTGAAAATGTGTGGTGTGTCCCGGGCGCTCATAATTCATAATATGACCTTATGCAGTTACGAGGGCCTTAAAACACTTTTTTTAAAATTAAAGATTCTTCTCACCCCTAGATCGCTTGCCCGTACAAGTGTACCTCGTCCTACAATTGTGAGGAATCGGAGCCGTCGGGAGCCTGTCCCTTCTACAGCGACGTCTGTTGCAAGAAGGAAAAACATATCTTCGGCATAAGTTTTCACGTACGTATCATCATCATAGCGGTACTTTATACGGGGTGCTTATTGCGGATGGGATCGGATCAGGTCGGATCGGGTCGGTTCGAATCGATCGCCAGACTCGTCGCCAGAAACAAACGTGTTTGTTTTTTAGGTGACGGGTCGGGTGCGATCGGCCTGTGCCACGATAGCCGCTTTACGCCCTCAATCTGGTTTGCAAACCGACCCAATCACACCCGATCCCCCAATGGGCACCCCGTATTACACTCACAAAGTTCGACATGACATTTTTGACCTTTTTGAGTTATTGAGACCATGAGGTTAGATACCAAATTATGTCCTGTTTGCTCTGTAAAAGTCGTAAAATTATTCGGAGTCGTTATCAACATATTCAAAGAATTGCTTTCTTAAAATAAGTTAAAAGTTTGCCATGTTGCTAAATTCAGATTTTTTTCTGCAAAATTTCTTTAAAACTGGGTATTGAGCAGATAGACCTTTGTAATTCTAGAGAAGCAATGAACAATCTGGGCAGAATAATGAATAGAGAGCTATGATCCCTGTTGTCTGTCCCAAATCTGCCATTTGATGATGATGATGATGATGATGATGATGATGATGATGATGATGATGATGATGATGATGATGATGATGATGATA